AATAAATAGTAATCTAACTAATCGTCGAGAAAGATCATAAATTTATATATATATATATAATATCGTGAAAGAGAATGGACGTGTAAAAACAGTGGAGGGGGAAAGAGAGATTCAGACTAAGTAATTATATAGTATCCTGACAGGTATCTAGACTTTATCGCGATTATGTCATCGACTTGTCGGTCTTTGGAGATTGATCGTTCGTAGATATTCACGATCAACTACCATATATATATCCCCTAAATCATACGATGAAAATCTCCTGATAAAAATGGACCCTTTAGAAGAACATTTCGCAAATGATCGGCAAGTAACATGGACAAACGAAAAGCAGTTGTAATGCTTACGTCTTCCTAATCCTTAAAATGCATCTAAATGGAAAATAACAGAGAAAGAATGGTGGTAGAGTTTCCAAGAAAGTCTTGGTTTGTGTGTTTGGGGGTGGAAGGAAAGAAAAGGTAAAAGGAACGGGGAGGTTTCGGAGACATAATACAAGTATTAAGTATTGCTAAAGCTTTCGAAGGTAAAGGGAACTACTTGGAGTAGGAAAGGGGTTCAGAGACAAAGAGATACCAGGAGAGAGAGAGAGAGAGAGAGAACCGTTTGCAAGGATAGGTAGGTAAGTCGGGGCTTAGCCCGGTGACACAGTGAGCGGAAGCAAACCATGGAGCTTACTGCCGGCTCCGAGTTGTTATAATGGGATCCGGCTAAACGCAAGCCGATTTTAACTCTTCGCCGCAATACTCGGCCAAGTTCAAGGTCATAGTCTTCGTCCGTTTCACGAAAGTGAACGGACGAATAGACAATTCACCTCTCTTAGTCTTCTACTTCCTCTTCGTCTTCGAAGAATTTCAAAATACTTCTAAAACCATCTATCGGGATAAATCTTCCTTCCCTATTTGACCACCACCAGTAGTCTAACCTATTCGATAAATCTCACATCACCTGTTGAACATTTTACCCTTTTCATGATTCACTTAAACGATATCACATTTTAAGTGTTATTGAATTAAGTAATAAATTGATCTCTTCGATTATTTTTCTTTTGTTTAAAGATATAAAATATGTCAATGAATGTACCTTTTTTAAGTTTCGTTCTTTCTTTGATAAAAATCCGTGTTTTCTTTGAACTCAAAAGAAAGTCAAAGAGAAAGGATTTAATGGTAGTACTATGATGCAAAAGGGTCATCAAAGGATTCGTTGGTACTAGCCGATTTATTATAGCTCGTTAATTTGATGAGTTAGAAAGGACGTTGGGATTAATCCGTCAAAAGGTAGACAGGTAGTAGAGTACGCGATCCGTCCAATTAGCCAAACGTGCTCGGACTCTCCTCTCGTTTTCAGCTGCATGGGGATCCTTTGTTACGATGTTTAGACCATTTAGATGGCTATATATACATATACATATCCATATATACATATACATATATATTATAAATACGCTTGGCTCTTGCTACAACACACCATAGGATTCGCTCTTAAGTGTACTCACCTACCACAGCATCAGGTACACCTGTGATCCTTTAATGAGCCGTTATGAAAGCCACTGCCAAAGCTGATGATAAAGCTTTCCCTACATCTTGTCTTATCAACTTGGATCATCTCTTACAGATAATCTCTGCCCTTTCCATTTTCCCTTGCCTATCTCTCTTTCTCTTTCTCTCATTCATTCTATCTTCAGCTTTTATCTATTCTAATTGGTCGTATTACAACGCTTATTATTTCTATTTCTATGTAGGGGATGTTTTTTCTATTTTTGTTTTTGCTTTTTGTTTTTGCAATGATACGTTAAAGGTTTAAAATAATAAATTGTACTTTTGTGATGAATATTTCTATCTTCGTGCTTGACCACCAAGTTGTAATTAATATCACGTCACGCTTGGTATCACCCGATCAATATAACCTGGTGAAAGTCCGCTCTAAAATAATGGAGAATCCGGTGGTTGCATTGTAACGTTAGTTAATACCAGATGCATTAACAGAATTGCACCCGGAGGCTATGGGGTTTCTCCTGCGAACGCAGCAAGCATCAATGTGATTAATAGAGACCATGTTGGTATTGCAATTACCACCGTAGAATTCTTCTATGTACAATACAAGTTATCGAAATGTGTATATATATTTTTATTTTTTTTTTTTTAGGTTTTCCATTCAAAGGTCAGATAATCAACAAAGTGGAGTGGAGTGGTTGCCGTGTGCAAAAATGTTTCGTTCTTTTTCTCTACTTGTTTTAATATTACATTGTTTTATTTGTTTATTTCTCTTCTATATTCTTTTGTGTGTGTTTTGTTCTCTTTTAGTTTGTTTTGTTTTATTTTAATTAAAAACAAAGATTTGCACTTACCGTGGATCGATCACTGTTGATTAAAAACAAAATATTTCTATAAACAAAGTGGATAGTTTTAATGAGATTTACAAGAGAATAATGTATTATTAATATCTTATTTTGTTTATTATTATTATTATTATTATTATTATTATTATTATTATTATTATTAATATTATTATTAATATTATTATTAATATTATTATTAATATTATTATTATAATTATTATTATAATTATTATTATTATTATTTATATAATGTTTTTTTTTGTTGTATGAAGATTTTGTTTGCATTGTTTGTTTCTTACATCATAGTACAACAACCATTTATATCGTACAATCAATCTACGTGTCAATTTATCAATTTATTTACATTCCTAGGATTAATTTTATAATTCATTTATATTCAGTAGTAATAATAATAATATTAATTATATAATACGCATTTCTTGTTCTTATCTATATAATAATAACTACTATAGTTGTTGTTATTTCTTATCATTCTGAGAGATTATTATAATTATTATTCTTATATTGAACAGCACATTTAGTGTTTCGATACACGTGCTTCCTTTTTATTTATTTTTTTTTTCTTTCAGTTAAAATACCTCTAATGCTTATCATTAAACATTAAACAATATTTGTTTTATTTTCTTATTCACTATCATTTTTCCTTAACTAAATTATTAACTCGTTAAACTAATATCGAATATCACCTCATACATTCATTATAATTCATTCATGATTTTAATTACACACTCATGATATTTAAAAAAAAAATTCAAAAAAAAAATTAATATAAAAAAATGTTAATTTGTTCTTTATTTTCCATTCTTAATAACACAAAATCATTCACTTTTCTCAATTACAATTTGAGTCTATTTTTGTTTTTAATAATAATAATAATAATAATAATAGGTAAGCAATTGTTTGTCTGACATTATTTTTATATCTTAAAATCTAATTCAAAGATTGTACAATGAAATTTATTGTACAACCCTTGACTTTTGTAATTTCTGTTGTTGTTTTTTTTCTTATTTTTTTTACTTATTTATTTCTATTCACAGATATTTTCAACTTATCAAATAGACAGACACTTTTCTTTCTTTTTTTTTTTTTTTGATATGAATAATTAGAAATATAGAAATGTGTTATCGTTCATTGAAATAATAAACGTATATTATTCGAGAATAATATCTAACAATATTTAACGGCAGTGCTAGGAAAAAGGGGATGGTGGTTGGTTGTGAGTTGTGTCAAAAAGCGAGAAATTCTACAAATTACAAAGCGACATATCTTTCAATAAATTACAATACATTGATCATCGAGTTAATCAAATCCAATTACGAAGCATGAACATTTACATTTTTTTTTAATAATATTTTTTTCATATTTGAAACAAAATAATTTCGAAATAATATTTTTACTCAACACTTTATACATATACATATATATATATTATTTTTATTTTTATTTCAATCACACGCATCGATATTTCATTGACTAGAATTTTTCACAATATGTGAAAGATTTCAAACAAATCATTGCAATTTTTGAAAAACTTTTATGATGTTCCATTGAAATTTTCTTTAAATCTTACCAACTACTTTTTCTTTTTTTTTTTTTTATCTAGAAGTATAAATTAAGTTTACGATTATTTCAAAAAAAAAAAAAAAAAAAAAAAAGAAAGGAACATCTTTAATTGTTTTTTTAATTATTTTGAGATTTTTCATGCTTCGTATATTTAAATTATTTATCTTATAAGCTTGCTTTTTAGCTTAGATGATAGTACATTACGTTCATTTATTTGTTGTTTTTTTTTTTTTTTTTTTTTTAAATTAACTCGATGAATGTATTTTTTTGTAGTATGTTTTTTTTTTCTTTTTTTTTGAGGTTTTTTCTTTTGGATAGAAATTCTAAATTAAACAAAATAATTGTTTCATGAAATCCCTTGTATAAAATTATGTTCATAATTTTATTTTGTCCTAATAGGTTGCAATTAAAAATAGCATTAAAATGGGGCATAAATTAAATTTTTGTTGAAATTTATATTGATGTTTTACATTTTACAAGATATTAAGTTAGCTAATAAACTCGAGTGTTTATTAATCAACTTTAATATCGTCTATTTTTTTTTTTTTTATTAATTCGTTCCGTAGTTTAATTTTATTTGATTTATGTTACTGTATAAAATGCAGGGTATTCGTAAAGTCACCTTTAACGAACCTGGAATGATAGAAATTTATTGTTGGCAGGTGTTCCAGAATGAACTAATGCTCTTTAACAATCCTGTCAAAATAGATTTGTGTCTTGAAATGAAAAGGAAAAAAATAAAAAAAATAAAAAACATATATATAGTATTTTCATTAATATTTTTTTTCAAAATTTCTATATATATATATACATAAATATTTATATATGTATATATATGTTCATATATATTTCATAAAATAATATGAATAAATATATTTACACATATATATTGATATATGTATATATATGTTCATATATATTTCATAAAATAATATGAATAAAAATATTTAGACATATATATTTATATATGTATATATTTTCACATATATACACACGTATATGTATATTATTATTGTATTGTTAATAATTAATCTTTTTTATTTTCCTTATTTTTTTCTTCATTATTTTTTTCTTGTTTTGACTTTCGAACATCCTACATTTCAAATTCTATGTCAAATAAATGCAAATTTTTAATTTCAACCTATTATTATTTTGTAAAATTGATTGTTTCACTTGGCTATGTCAAACAAAGAACAATAAAAATAATTAGGGAAAAGTTTTACTGTGTCTATTGATTTCTTTTAAGAAAGACTTCTTTCTTTTTTTTTTAATTTTTCTTTTTTTTCTTTTAAGGAAAAGATAAAACTTCTTGCTGGAGATTAAATCTAGAAATAAAAATTAGAAATACTTAAACCCTGCATCATTGATAAATCACCGAACAAAATAATATAATTAATTATCATCAGAGGAATCTAAACTACCATTAATTTCATGACAAATAGGTACATTATTGATACGCCAATGATATGGTGAAGACAAAGTTGATGCCGTTAATGAATTAGGAACACTCCCGATAATTTCTTGTCCACGATGAAAGATCCCTGAGGACCTAGTGGAGCGCTATACTATCGGTGAATACTTAGGATCCGGTAAAACGTAAGCTTCGTTTTCAGCGTCACCGTTAGCATTGGTCATTTCATTATTGGTGCCCTGGGTAGGTGGTTGTTGATGTTGTTGGGTATGCTGCGTATGTTGCTGGGAATGCTGCGGCGTATGCTGCTGGGTAAGTTGTTGAGTATGTTGCTGAGGATGTTGTGTATGCTGTTGGTGATGGTGTTGGGGATGCTGCTGATGTTGAGGATGATGCTGAGGATGCTGCTGAGTGGTTAGATGTGATAACGGTGAGCTAACAGCCACATTATGGTGATACTGTGCATGATGATAGTTACCCTGTGGACTGGGATGCATGTGCGATATTTGAGTTGGATAATAATCGCTGGTAGCGTACGCATTCGAGTAGGCATTGTAAGTCTGCGCTGGATAAACCGGATTCGGATTGACGGATGCTGGCGTAGCAGTACTCCACGCAGCAAAACTATAATCAGTATGGTGTATTTGGTTTATCGGTAGAGGATAGGCCGATGGTGGCAGTTGACTCGATCCAGGTGTCAACGGAGGAGAAGGTGTCGTAAGAGCACTGTTAGCACCACTGCCACCGGTCGGAGTCAGACCAAGTCGAGGATAAGAAGAACTCGTTGGTAATAAAGGTGAATTCGAATTTGGAGCTTCTCGCCCACGTGGCGGGGAAACTGGTGAGGAACGTCGACTGGATTGCCTGGACGAATTTGTCGCCGCCACCATTTTACCATTTTGATGTACATTGCTTTGGGCTTGATTAGCTCTCGGCGAGGAACCTTTAGGTGAATTTTGTTGCTGTTGTTGTTGTTGCTGTTGTTGCTGTTGTTGTTGTTGTTGCTGCAATTGTTGTCTACATTTCGCTCGACGATTTTTGAACCATACCTGAAAAATAGAGTAAGAAAAGAAAGCTTTTTTTTTTAAGGAGTTTGAAAGAAAAGACATCCAAGAAGAATTGAAGGATTCCCTCTTTCTCTCAAAAGGAACCTTTCTTTGTAGGGTAGAATTTTGGATGATTTTGTTACCAAGAAAAGAAGGTGGAAACGAGCCTGGAACGTTTCGTACTTGGTAAAACGCGAGGGGTAAACGAATGGGGAGTTAATCGGCGCAATGGGAAAGTAATCGCGGGCGGACGGGCGTAACATTTCATTAAATCGCAACAATAACAGGGATTCGAGAAGGGGGGCCCCAGCAACTCTGTTGTCCTCCACATCATGTATCTCTTTCTTTCTTTACTAACTCGCGTAGGAGCAAGCATAGATCCCCTGGGATCTTTCGTCGTTTGCCGGCACGCATGCGCGAATCAAAGCCCGAATCGTGCGCGCAAGGGGTGTTTTCAACCCCCGTGGCGAGATCGAATGGTTCTAGATATGTACACCTATCTCTTCAATGTACGCTTTCACACAACGTGTATGTATATGTGTGACGTGACTACTACTACAACAACAAACAAACCGAGTGTGTGTGTATGTGTGTGTACGCCTTCGGAAAAGTGTACTCCCGTCGACCAGGAACGACGATCTTCGAAAGTAGGGGTTGGTTTCAGCATTGGTGTGAGAGAGAAAGAGAAAGAGAGGTTAGGTGGGACAAAAAGCATCCCCTAGCAGGCCGCAAATTCTGTCTCTCTTTCTCTCTCTCCTTTTCTATCGCGTTTCACCGTGGCCTGTTCTCTAATCCTAACACACAATGTGGCTAGGGGTGCGATCCTATGAATCTATGCCCGTGCCTTTAAAAACAGGAGACCCGTCATTATTGTTGTTATTATCGACGCTAACTGTAACAGTTGTTGTTCCACCAACTATACGTAGACCAGATTTGAAACCTGGCAAAATTTCCATTTAAAAATAGAACAGATTTTTGCAAGAATTTGCGTTCATTGATAAAAATGAACCAAAAGAAAAGATGAAAGTTTGACGAATTGCATGAATTCTCGCCAAAAATTGTTTTCAGTGTTTTTTTTTTCTTTTTCTCGAGAAATATATATGATTGATCCTTCGATGAGTTTTCGACTGTCAAAGTTGGGAAAAATGATCGCGCCTTCCTTTCAAAGTGAAAAGAGTCAAAGGGTCGAAAAAGGGGATGCAAAGAAAAAGAGAGTTAGAGAGAGTGAGAAAGAAAAAGGCATTATCGGTCTATGTTTGCACAACGACACCCCCTTTCCAGAAGCTAGTTACCCCAACAAGCAACGGAAGGAGCAACGGTGGCATCCAGAGGATAGCCTGGAGCGACGATTGGCACCACACGACAGGCACCATCATCGTTTGCGTTCTCTCAACATCTCTCTCTCTCTCTCTCTCTCTCTTTGTCTACTCCTTTATTTATGTGTGAGTATATGTTTGTGTGTGTACTCGCGTATCCACGTCCGAGGTGCAAATTGCATCACCATCTGGTTTATATCCAACGCGAAGGAAAACCAACGAACCGACCGACCCCATACGACTATGGGGGTCAAGCAACGACTACGACAACGATCGAGAGAGTAAGAGAGAGAGACAATGAAGGGGGACGCAGCTGCGTTAACACTCTGTTATGACAAATATATTTTCTTATTTGCACTTTTAATACCAACACAAATTGAAATCACCTACACGTATATCATATGCGATAGAGATGGATCATTTTCCTCTTTAGTCCCATATATTTCTCATCTCTAACATTTTACACTATCATCTTTTGTTGGAGAATTTTACAAATTTAATTGAAAAATATTTAAAAATGATAGTCGAAAGAAGAAACGTTCTTTTACAATGCAGCTGCAATCCACTCGCTTCATTTTTTTTTCTTTCTCTCGTTCATCACTTTTTTCCTCGTTGGTTTCTTTTTATCTCCGTTCTGAGATGAATAAAAAAAAAATAAAAACGTTGAAAAGAGAAAGAGAGAGAGAGAGAGAGAGAGATACATAGAAAAAGAATAGAATTGAAAGAAGAGGGGTTATAATCTAGGAACAAATCAAACTATGCTTCGCACATTCTATCCTTTTCTATATTCCCTATACATCAGTAGTAGTAGCAACAGCTATTCGGGTTGCATAAAAAAAAACCCTCCCCCACTGAGATCGAAAACTTTCAGAGACCCCTCCCATACATGGATATTATTGGTACACGCCTAGAAAAGGTGATCATACTGTCTACGTTTCGTGTATGCCTATACGCCAACAAATTCTATCCCTCCCCATTCCACCCCCCAACCCCCTCCTCACACTATTTTTCTACGTACAATCGCATGTTTCACGTACATATGTATACAATACGTGCTAGTTGTCCCTTTTCGATCGGGAGCCCTCCATTCACGGAGGCTTAACTTCGTGTCGCGTGGAAACTAGCTCACCCGAATTTCCACACTGTGTGGTAATATGTGTGAGTGTATAAATGCGTACGTGTGTGCGTGTATTTTGTGCTTTTGTCCTATCTCTATCCTCACGATATGGCGGCTACGAGAAACGTACTTACTCTCTCTCTGTAGTTCGTTTCTTACAAAACTATGAAAAAGATTGATAATTTTCATTGATCATTATTTATTTAGAAATATAATTGCTTTATGAATAAATTTTTATATCTCGATATGTTATTCTATGTCATTTTCTTTTACAATTTTATAAAAAACAAACTGTGGCTCATGTGAGTTACAATGTATGACATTTTCGTTTAGATAAATGTTAGGTTATGTTCAAATGTTTCGAGCACTCACCGAAATCTATGGCTAACAGATGGTGCTGAACTTATTTGTATATCTTTTTCTTTTTATATTTAAATTAATTAATTATTTTAGAAATAAATTAATGTAATAAAAACCTAGCTGTATGCGAATGCAACATTGTGTCAAAATTTCAAGACAATCGAAATAATTTTTAACCCCACTTATCGGTCGTAAATCACGTAATAAGTGTAACTTACAAATAAAAATATATATTACCAATAAAATTAATAATTAAATAATAAAATAATTAATAATTTCATATATTTGTAGTATTCCTTAAAATAAAAAATAAATTAATAATTTCTAATAAATAATAAATCGATTTTTATAACACTAAACAATTTTGTTGCATATTTACTCTAACCACTTATAATTTACAATTAATAAAAACCATCAAAATATAAAAATCTGACGACCAATAAATGGTTAATAATAATAATCACAGACTTTTATTAGTCTCATAATAAAAATCAATAAAACATATATAAATTCGAGATTCATTTTAATACTAAAAAGAATTTAAAATGTTCACGTTGTGATTATTCGATTGAAAAAGTCGATGTAAGTCGATCTTTTAGCACCCCCGTCGTGGAATGGAGATGTTACCGAGGACCGCAATAAAAGCGTCAACGAGCTCTTTGGTATTGCCTGTCAATGTGTGTAGTAATATGCCTTACTCTACTTTAGGACAATGGCGAATTGGAAGAGAACGTGGGACGCGTCACCGCATTGTGTAAATACCTTAAATCTCGTCTGTGCTTGCCGGAGCACGCAGTGTTCTTCAACTCCATTTTCTTTTTTCTATTCTTTTTCTCGCCTAGACACCCCCTCTCTCTGTCTCTCTCTTCTTCACTTTCATTTCATCACAGATCATTTGATTTCTTGCTACCATTTCATTTACATTTTAACGATAATAACTCAACTGTCTTTACATTAATGAAAATTTCAATTAACATGAGCGTTAGATATAATTACGGTTTTTTTTCTTTAAAAGGGTAAAATTTGAGAGTTCTTTATTTACCAAAATGGCGTCCGCCCGATAAATACAAAAATAGGTACTTAATAATTACCTGTACTCTGGATTCGGGTAAGTTGATCTTAACTGCAACTTCCTCCCTCATAAATATATCTGGATATCTGGTCTTCGAGAAGAGACCTTCCAGTACGTCCAATTGGGCACGTGTAAAGGTCGTTCTTTCGCGTCGTTGCTTGCGTTGGTTCATACCTGAAATTTAAATGAAAACAAAAAAAAATACCAACAATTATAATCGACAAATTCATTGGCACACATCCCTTAAAAAAATCTTAAAATCGAACGTTACACATCAGGTAATTCCTAAAAAAAAAACCTATACGATGAAAACAAAATGGCGGAGAATATTATTTTGGATGGTAGAACGAAGAAAAGAACGGAATCGACGAATTTCGTGGATAAGAAGGAATAAAAAAAAAAGAAAAAAAAGAAAAAGAAACGATCATCGACGTCGTTGGACGTTGCTACAGAGAAACACATAGAGAAAAAGAGAAAGAGAGAGAGATGAAGGAAAAAGGGGGACGACATTTGTGGGGTGTGAGAGCGTTGCGAGGCCGCGATAGCGTAATTTTGAACAGCATCCTCCCTCCAAGCGGGCGTTCTGCTCCCTTTTCCCTTCTCTCTATACCTTCCTTGTGCCATCGAGCCTCGCTTGGCTCGTTTCGGGACCCACGTAATCCGCTTACGAGGGGGTCACCGGGGGGAGGGTGAAGAGAACACTGGAAAGAGGAGTAAAAGGGGGCCTGCTGGGGTGGTGGAACGTCGACTACGACGAGGAGGTACACCCCTGGTTCTCTATCTCTCTCTCTTTCTCTCTCTATCTCTCATATATATATATATATATATATGAGAGATAGAGAGGACCAAAGTCGCGACCATTTTTCTATCTCTCTCTCTCTCTGTCTTTTTTTCTTTTTTCTCCAGCTGCCTTGACGATGACGATGAAGATTAGAGAGAGAGAGAGGACATCTATGGACAACAACATGGATGCCATGGTCAAAGAATACAACAACAACAACAACAAAACAATAAACATCTGATGTCGTCGAGTTTGATCGTAAAGTTTTAGTCGAATTTTATTCGGTAGATTTGAAAAGTTAACACACACACACATCTATCTACCCACCCACTTCTTATTCTTTTGGTTAATGTATTTTTTTTATTGATTTCTTTATAGTTCAAGATTTGTTATAAGATTTATTTATAAAAATGGTATTTAGTACTAGAAGATTAAGTAGTTGAAATGAATCAGTTAGTTGTAACGAGTCTTCATTGAAGATTCATGCAACTTAGCACAAATGTACTTAAATAAATATTTTATATAAGTCCCAATAATAAAATATAATCACGAAAAATTTGACAGTAATAATATGAGTGACAATTGACAAAATCATGAAAGTGTCAGTAGTTGAAATGCATCACTCAGTTGTAACAAGTTAATTGATATAAGTAAGTTGAACAAGTCTTCATTGAAGATTCATGCAACTTTGCACAAATGTATTTAAATAAAGAGTCCCAATAATGAAATATAATCACAATACTAACATCGACTCCATTAATTCCAGTATTACAAAGGTAAAGCAGGAAAGGTCCTAGTAAAAGCATACATTGTTTGTTTGTTCGTTCAGCAACCGAAATATCTGTAGGTTGAATGTAACATATTGGTACTTTTGACCGATGATGATGACGAGAGGAAGCGAACAAGAATGAGAGAGGTAAAAAAAAAAAGAAAAAGAAGAGAAAGATGACGATGTATAGGTGGTATCGGCTAACGAACTGGTCGAGTGGGCCTACACCATTTGGTTACCGAACGAGATCTAACGAGTAGATTGCGCCGTTCACAATGTAGAAATTCCACGGGTGCTTGGCTACCGTGTCGTTGCTCGTCATGAACGCGACACGCCTGCGATCATTTCGGATCTATGATTTCTATCTCTTGCTCTTATACCAACCCAAGATCCACCATAGTGAAAGAGAAACAGAAAAGGTAGGAGGAGCAACGAGGAAACAGCATGAAAGAAAAAAAAGAAAAAAAAAAGAAAAGGAAAGATGAACGGGCTAAGGAAAAGAGGATGCTTGATTGTCAAGTGGGCGTTGGTTGCTACCGTTGACGATGGTCTTTGCCAGTTGTACCTACTCCCCGTTTTGCGAATGACTCTTTCTTGTACTCGCTCGAGAAACAATAGAATTCTGATTATGGGTCTTGTCATATAGTGTCGTGTAGGAACAGTAGGACCGATTAGAATGTCCTTAGTTTTCAAAGTATTCATTTGTGAATTTAGATCGCGACGACCTTAATCACGGATCATGTTTGAAAGTTAAAAATAAAGAGTGAGAAAGAGAGAAAGAGGGGAGGATAGAGATAGAGAGAGAATTTAAAGGGATTCGTTTCACTTAGGATATAAATGGTATAAAATCAAATTGACGTCGATAAAAGAGTCCCGTGAACGATTTCGTTGGAAAGAGATAGCTTGCTAAGCAACCCTAATGTCTCGGCAAACACCCGCTGCGTCCAGGAGTATGATTCGATTTATTATCGTCCAAGTGCGAGAACGGAGAAGCATCCATCCTATCTGGGGGGTTGGTATAAGGGTTGCTTTGCCTCATTGGGCCCACAACGAGATCAGTCGCGACCCTAATAGCAAATTCGTTTTCTGTTTATTGGATTCTTCTTTCCCTTCGTTGACTGTCGACATTCTCCTTCTCATCCTTCTCTTTCTTTTTCCTTCACTTCCTCTTTCTCCTACATCATCTTCTTCATCCTAGTTGTCTCGTATTTCGTGGCACCCGAAGTGGGATGATGAAAGTCAATGGACCGTCAAGCGAAATTTCACGCTGATTTCTCGCGAGATATCTCTCTAGGTATATATATCCTCTTTCGATGCAAATTATAAAACGATGTAAAGGTTTTTTTTGAGGGTGCTAAAGGCTATCGGGTTTTCTATAAAGGATTTTGTAATCGGTTGGATCGACCGAGAAACTGTTCTGACGATTATGATGATGATGATAATGACGAGTAGGAACTGGATACAGACTCTTTCTTTTGGTTAAATCTTGGTATTCATGGAAGAGAAAATTTGAAGAAAAGTGAGGAGGCCCCAAAGCGAGGGATAGAATCGAAAATTAATTAAAAGCTAAAACGCGAGAAAAGAAAAGAGTAAAAGAAGGATAAAAAATATAGAAATAGGGAAAGAGAGAATGAGAATAGTAGTAGTAGTAGTAGTAGTTAGTAGGGAAGATGGATTATTCAGGGTACCGTGGGATGACAGCACGTGGCTTGACGATAGCGAAAGAGAAAAAGAAAGAGAGAAGCTTCCTAAAAGGCCATCAGCTATGAAAACATTTGGCCGACTTTACGTTTACATCCTGACCGGAACGGAATTGTAACTAAAAGGGAATCGATCGGGACACCCACCATCAACACCTGTAACATTTTACTTTATATAAAACCATCTCCACTACCATAAAATTGAAGTACTGCAAAAATTTACTTCTAATTATACTTTGTTGTTTTCTTTATTTTTTATTTGAGTATCTATACGAAAAGAGAATAAATGAAACTATGAAAGCAAACCTGACGCAATCCTACACCTTTTGCATTACAATTAAAACCATCTTGACTACCATAAAGTTAAAGTTCTGCAAAAATTTACTTCTAATAATACTTCGTTGTTTTTCTCTATTTTCTAGGAGTATAAATGAAACTATGAAAGCAACACTGATGCAGCCCTACACCTTTTGCATTACAATTAATTTTTCTTATCAAACTTTAATTTCATTTAGTTTACGTTTGATGTGTCATTCATTTATTCGCACACTTTCCTTTTTTAAAAATAATATTTAAGAGATAGGAACACGTTTGATTAACTCAATCAAAAAGAAGAAGAATAAACAATTAGATCGTTTTATCTTTCCAGTAACGACCTTTATAATGCAAAGGGTTAATAACGGGGGTAAAGAAGAGATAGATGATCGTAAAATTAGCTTGGAAAAGTAGGAACTTGTGTGGCCTTCGTGTCTGGACGTCCTTACTCGATATAATCTAGCTTTGGAGAGAAGCATAAGTAAGTAATAGAATACCAACACACACACACACATCCGGGACAAGCGAATATAATCGGATAAGTTTCGCATTACGCGTGTCCTCCTTGAAAGTGTCCTTTTTCCAGCCAAACGTTTTCTACTCATTTAATATATATATTTAAATACAATATACATAACAAACGTTAACGAATATTTCACACAAAAATTAATAAATTAATTAACACAATGTAATATTTCCCAAATAAATAAGAAATAAAATTGGACGTATCCAAGTAAAAAAAATGAGAATAATAGAAAATAAGATAACTGAAAGGATAACTAGGAAGAAGTTTCATCTTCATCTTCTTTTTTTAAGGGCGAGAGTGTCAATGTCGCTATACGTGACATTTCACTCAGCTTCGAGTGTTTATCCTGCAATTAGGATCTTGGATTTGTATTTGGATTCCAACCTCTTCCTCCTTCAGCCCACCCCAAACTCCAACCCCAAGTACCACCACCTCTGACTTTCTCTTTTCTTTTTTTTTCTTTCTATCTCATCGTCGAAAGACTCACTTGCAAGAATCCACCTACTCAATTTGCCGGTGACACGCGCCGTCGGCGAGAATAAGAGGCTCTTATGGTACTACTCCTTCTCCTCCTCCTCCTCCTCCTCCTTGAAGTTTTGTGGCCACTTCGCAAAAGTACGACGCGTGCACGCGTGCCACAGTGCCACGTGCCAACCCCCTAAAAACCTGACCGCCTCTAATTGACCGATCCAAATATTTCATCAATTTTACTGGTATAAATCTTTCAAGTATTTTTATTTATTTCATTTTTTTTCTCAATTATTGAAGGTTTACCATAATTTTGCACGAATTTCTATTACCAAGTGGTGATTTATGTTGTAAGTGATATCAAAAATCAGAAATTTTAACGGGATGTCGAATTAAAAGGGGAGAAGGGGATCTTAAAAGGACAGGCAATTTCTCTGTGACAACAAATAGTCGTCATCCAACAGGAAAAGGTTGAAAGAGAGAAAGAGAAATGAAAAGACATGTGACAAAACTCCCACGTAACACCCACCAAACCTAACCTACCCTCCTAACCTTTTCCCGATTTCGACTCCTTGTGTTTCTTCACCCCTTGAACTAACTTTACTTGAAATAAAATAATAATTAATTTACGAGTATAAAGCTGGTTCTTATCATTCAATTAAGATAAAAATAAATAAATTATTAAACGTTCGATTAAAAATAAGTTTAAATTAATTGTTTAAATTTGATTAAATAAATCACGAGACAAAATAAAACAAATAGAGTTAAAATAAAAATAAAAGAGAAACGGAATAATTTGTTTGATACTTTTTTGTGTGTATGTATGTATGTATGTCTGTATGAATGTTTGTGAAAAACCAAGATTTCCAATCATCTCAAATAACACTCTCTCTCACTCTCTCTCTCTTTCTCTCATCGAACGATTGTTGGCTCGTTACTCTAACGTTTCAATATATTCAGCCCTTGTCCCGTTTCGCCCCCTTTTTACATGCCTCGAGCTATCGTCGTACGTTCCCAAAGTGAACGTCGAGTTCACGACCCTTATATATACGCGACTGCATAATAAAATAAACATTGATACTCGACGCCTACCCCAAACCCTACACAGATCTTTTCTTCCCAACTCTAAACATGAAATAGTCTTCTCACGTACACGCGTCTCAGTTGACGAATGTTACACACTCTATTTGATGTCTCTGTTTCTTATTTAAAAAAAAATACACGAAAAATAATCACGTCTTCTTTTACTTTCTTTCTTTCGAATATTAAAAATGAGATGAAATACTCGTAACTATGAATTTTATCAATTGTATCAATTTTAAATGTAAATTCAATGATAATATTATTTAGTATAAAAATATATTTGTATAAAAATAAATATAGAATAATTTCCAAATCTATGCAATTATCTTTCAGATAAACCAAATACCAACCACCCACGAATATTCCTACCGATAAAAAAGTTAAGTGACTCGTAACTAGTTATCATCATTTCTAAATTCTTTTTATCTTAACTTTTCTTGAACTCTCTCATTTCTGTTCCTAAACCTTTTCTCTTGAACACAAATAAACTAAACGAAAGATCTATCTTCTCTCTTTCTATTTCTCTTGAACGTTTCTCTTTGGCGTCTCCGTCGTTCGTCGGCTTTTCGTGTAGCGGATACGCCTACACCGGATAGGCGGCTGGACGTAGGTACGTAGGGTCCTAACGGACAGATCCGTGATTCCATGGAAACCCACCTATCTGCGTTGGTTGGACCTATACTGCCTGCTGCCACCCTGATAAGCGGCTTACTCTCATGCTTCTCTCCGCTCTTCTTCGTTCAAGCGTACTCACTCTCCTCTCCTCTCCTCTCTCTCCCAAGCCACCACCCCCAGCCTCCTCTCTCTCTTTGCATCCCTCATCCCCATATTCCTAGGACCCTTTCAAGCCACGAGTAAGAGATAGATAGAGAGTAAGAGAGAGAATAAGAGAGTGAAATCGACTACGACGACGATGACGATGAAGAAGAGAAGAAGGAAGAGGAAGAGGAAGAGGACAACGACGACGTTGCTGCTGCTGGTTTTCACAAAATCATCCCGCAAGTACGATGAAAAGTAGAAATATCGGACGCGGAAATGTTCTATCATATTTTTTTTATCATCTTTTTATACATTTCTTTTACAATGCTAATTTATTTTTCTTCTTAGGTTATTATTTGACAAAAAAAAAAGTATCTAATACTCTTGTAGTTCGGTCCATTATCTATTGTAAGGTTATACAAATGTTTGAAGAGTTTTTTTGTATCATAGAACTCATAGTTTTTTACGTTCTTTTATGTTTTCTTGACAATAGCATTATTCTTAAAAAAAAAAATTTTTTTTAAATATAAAGAAAGGGTTAGGGAGAGTTGGAGTAGGATATATGTAGGATTTATTACTATTTTGTTTTGTAGAAACGAAATTAACTTTTTAGGTTAACTACGCGCAATTATAATGGCGCCAAGATGCCATCTTTCAGTAGAATGCGTTACTATAGTGGCTTTCGCGAATGATATCTTTTAAAATATATTATACCTAATTGTATTATTAATTATTAAAGTAAATTATTAAAGTTTAAATATGTGGAATATATTTTAAAGAAAAAATTATAATTTAATCATTCAATGTACTCAAAGTAGAAAACCTGCATTGTCTGTTGAACCTGTAGTGCATCAGAGAAAAAACAGCTCTGAAAATTCAGCAATTCCTAAGAGGTTAACAAAAAAAAAGTAGGAAATAAGGGAAGAAACGAAAAGAAAAAAAATAATAAGAGAAATAATGTGTCCTCGAAAAGGATAGGTATAATCATAACGACGAAAGACCCGTGGTGGTGTGTGTCTATAGTTTAAGAAGCCCTCCTGAGTTTACCGTGAATACACCGGTAAGGTTTCTTCAGTCGATGCATCGATTTGCATGACAATCAATAAATGGTCTTCTTCTTCTTCTTCTTCTTCTCTATCGCACGAACAAAGGGAATTTTTCTCGTACAACGCATAAGAACGCGCTTAACGACATTTCACCAACGAATATTATCGTATTAGCCTTTTTGAACGATGTTTGGATTGCAAAATGCCAAACGATGCTATTAAATGAGTTAATATTATATCTAAAGGAAAACCCAACGAGTAAAGAGAGAGGATCCGGACTAATGTCGAATGATTTGTGTCTTTCAGCTTTAGAACTTGACCAATGAATGAATGGTCTGATCCGTGCCAGCATGGAATGACGATTGGATTTATTTCACTTGACTTTGATTACGATTAAATCGTCTAAACAAACATATCATAAACACATACCAAAATATTAGTATTTAATTGTTGAATAAAAAAAATAAAGTTAAATGTTTTATTTAAATCGACTCAACTCAAGAGTAAAGGTGTTGCATTTACCTTTGCAGGTAGGTAGTGTCACCTCGCGGTACTATTTCGAATCGAATAAGTTACAAATATGTATATAAATACAATATTACTTATTTAAATAATTTTTTGATCAAACCATTCGTTCATGTTGAGATACGCTTCGAATGGGTGAACATAAAAAACTATAATAGAAAAAAAAAAAAGAAAATGTTTTACCTTGTGGAAATGCAAGGCTGTGTTCCAACGGATGAGGATGGGGGTGCCCATGACCAGCAAGAGCAAAATGCGTCGATATCCCTGAATGTGCAGCACCAGGGTGCGGATGAGAATGGGGATGAGGATGAGTTCCAAATGCCATTGCTGCACTACTGTGGGGGTGGTATTGATGACTTCCGGTTGGGGTACAAGTGGCACCCGCTGCCTTCAAATACCCCGCCATATATCCCGCGAGGCAAGCCAGGTCACCCGCCACCGTTGATTCGTTATCGCTCCTACTAATGTCGCTATTGTGATTTTCTTTCTAATTGCACCACCCACTGTCACTATCACTTACACAATTACCAATGTAATTTATATTTATGTCCCTTCTATTGTTCTCGTACCAAACACACCAATTTTTATTGTTCAAATCTTGCGACGCAATATCGTACTCTGATTTTAATTTTTCCACAGAATTCCTCTTGTCGAAAGTATCGTATTCGCCAATGATGAATTCGTTCACCTGCAACTGAAATCAAAATTAATCTTATTTTAAAAATTCTTATGTTTTTGTATTTTCTAAATGGAATTTGATTAAAGTTATATGTGTTCCCTTACATGTCAACGTGAAAGATCAAAATTGGATAATGTGTTAAGAACAGGGTGGGGCAATAACTATTAGCACCACAGATATCTTCGAAACTATAAGGTTCACAGAAATATTTGCTGAAATAAAATTGCACAGTACGAAGGGGGCCATCCGATAGCGATAATAGTTTTTTTGCAGGTGGAGGTACTTTGGACATTTGAAGGTCACCTCCATTTTTTCAAATGGATCGGTATGTTTTTGTTTCTGTATCATGATAGAGGAGCTTAAAACGAGTTCAACGACCTATCACATAAGGTCATTGAAGGTCATAGAAAGTACATAAAAGTGATAATTATTTTATCAATGGAAATTTGAATGGCAACATCTACGCTAATTTTATCAAGGAAACATTGGGTCTTCTGCTAGAGGAGTTACCTTTACTTACACGACAAACCATGTGGTATCAACATAATGGATGTCCAGCACATTATTCATTGATTGCACGAAGAAAACTCGATGAAAAATTTCGAAATCGTTGGCGATAATACTTACAGTTTTGGCAGTAAATAAAATTCAAATGTCCAAAGTACCTCCACCTGCAAAAAAACTATTATCGCTATCGGATGGCCCCCTTCGTACTGTGCAGTTTTATTTCAGCAAATATTTCTGTGAACCTTATAGTTTCGAAGATATCTGTGGTGCTAATAGTTATTGCCCCACCCTGTATACTTGTGTTGCATAGAAAACGTGTGAAAATGATTTCCTATAAATTGTTAAAATAAACAAATTTAGATATAACAAAATTGTATTTTTAAGTATATAGATCTCGTCGGATTTTAATCTACTTCATAGGTGACGATTCTTTTTTTACTAACTACGATTAATAAACATGCAACTACAAATATTTTTAGCTTAGTTTGATAAATCGAATCATCGAAGTTGCCGATGAAGAGGAGACAATTGCAATAACAGATTAAATTTTCGCTTAATAAATTAAAAACTCACTGAAACTCTATCGTTCGGATGCTGCTCAATTTGTTCAACGATTTTACCGGCACTCACATATTCGGGACAAATAGAAAGCATTATCTGGGTTAGACACTTATAAAAATCACTTCCTTATTAAGAAAGATATAGATAGAATAATACTACACACTTAAAATTTGAAAATATATTTTTTTTTGACACAGAAAGATACAAACACACGAGTATACACTTATATAGTCCAATAGGTTTACTTTTACAACGATTATGCCAGTAGCAACAAGTTTCTACGACGGGTTTTTTCGAACCCCTTTCCGAATCTCACAGTCACTCTACGAAAATGGGGATGGGAACTTTATGGTGGTATCGATAACACTGCACTATTTTTTTTTTTTATTTTTTTTCTTGAAAATCTTCTTCGAATATGATAAAACTTTTCACCAAGGAAGAAAAAAGAAAAGAAAAGAAAAATTATAAATGAATTGAGGAAGTTGTTGATTGACAGAAAAAAACTAAAAGGAATATCAAGAAAAATAAAAAATAAAAAGCAAAGTAAAGTAAACGGGGAAAAATGGGTAAAGAATATTTAAAGAATTTAAGGATTCACACACAATGACGTCTTACCAGCCCAACAGTCTCTGTTAAACTGGACTGAGCTGAAGTTCCTTAAATGATTTTCTAGACCCTTTTAACGTTCTTCTATTCAAAAACGGGGGTGGGGACTCTACGGTGGAATCGAGCAGAGAGAGAGAAAAGTGGGCAGGTATATATCAATGAACAGGACAACCACCATTGGGTCCCTTCGGTCTTCAGAAACAAATTCTTTGTTCGAGTTACTTTTCTAAAAGAAAAAAAAAAATAATCTATTGGCGAATAGGCTATTTCATAGGACCATTAACGAAATTTATCATCCATTTTAACGGAAACTAACATGGAAATTTATATATATATATATATAATTTTTTAATATATATTAAAATTTAATATAATTGAATATAATTATTTTTAATATATTATATATATAATTTTTTATATATACTAAATTTATAATATTATATATATATACATCAAATTAAATTTGAAATTAAATGAAATTATAAATATAATTTAATATATAAAATTAAATTTAAAATTAAATTAAATTAAATATAATTTTTAATATAAAATTTAATATATATATATATATATTTAATATAATTGATATATAAATTATAATATAATATTAATTATATATAATATAAAAATATATTTTTTTATAAATTAATTTGTAATATTCACTCTCTCTCTTTCTCTCTCTTTCTTAATATAAATACCAAGTATCCTTTTTTAATCTTCTATACAATCTGATAAACTATTAAGAAGTGTTACAAAACCCTGTATATATATATTTACTACAAACCTAATATAAATCCGGCTTATCCTTAAGTGTTAATGGTTAAAATACCAAACACAAATAATATCCTATAAACATATTGATCCTAATAAAACCCAAAAAATAAACAAAAAATTCCTATAACCATTTTACTTTTATGATCCCAATGATTATCCCTAGAAGTTAAAACAATTATCGCGAACAACAGACCAAATCCAATTTGTTCCAAATACTGGCAAGAACTACCCTCAAAAATTAAAAGCAATCAAAAGTTAAAAAGAAGAAACTTACAAATATTCTTTCCTCTCACCCCTTTACCTAACCTCATCCTACAATCATCAGAGAACAAACTGAAACACCGTGTTAAACGATAAGAAGAAGAATAATCAACCGATCACGATTATAAGAATTCAAAAAAAGAAAATTACTTAACATGAGAGTTTGTTAGATCAACCTAAGTCGATTACTTTTTCGTAGGATCACATAGTCAAGGTCGTAAAGAAGGGTACTTACCATCACCACCACCACCACCACACTCAATGATCCTCTAGTGGATCAGAAGAGGGTTACACAGAAAGATAGAGAGAGAAAGAAGAGAATAGTCGTCGCGTGCTAAACCGGAAGAGATGAGGAAGAGAAAAGAGAAAGAACCTGGGGGGGGGGTGGAGGATGAGAATTAGGGGGGTATAGAAGTAGGATAGGACTAAACCATGCTAAAAAGCCGACTTATCCGTGAAACTTAACTTCCCGTTAGACGTTAAACGGTTAAACAAACTCACCATGAGAATGAGTGAGAAGGAAAGAAAGAAAGGGGGTGGGGTGAAAATAGAAAGATGAACGTAAAAAGACGTTTTTATCCGGATTGTGAATAAAGGGTCGAACGAACTATGCAAGATAAGAGAGAGTGAGTGAGAAAGAAATATTTTCTATATAGGGTGAGATGTGCACATAGGTAGGTATGTTTACACGGGAGCATTATGGAGGATAATGTTTGTTATAGGCATCTATTCGTTCTCTTTCTCTCTCTCACACACATACTCTTTACAGTCAGGAGAACCGAGGCTATCCGACGTTAAAAGGCCAGTCTGGTCGATCCGCTTACGCCGGATGAGGCTCAAATTGAGTGAGAGATAGTGAACTCTCTCGTGCAACTCGTTGCATACACATCACACATAGTAGTTGCAGCAGCCGGTGCTGGTACTGGTGCTAGTGGTGGTGGTGGTACCAACCCTATGACGACACAGGTATACGACGAGATGCTCGTTATTATCTAGGTGACAAAACCCCTGATAACGTTGAAGAACATTTCTTTACAGTAATAATCATAAACCAATGAAAATCATTTCGCACTTGGGTTCTAATAATATTTCAAGAGTAACAATAACAATTTTTGTATAATAGATACTCTGAAGGATTTATTAGTGGAGAAATTATTTAAAATAAATTATGTTAATATTAAATAATAATATAATTATGAAAGTGAATTGTAAGTGCAAATTTATAAAAATAAATAAGTTTATCACTTATTTCATATCAAGTTATTTAAAATTAATTAATTCAATGTAATCTTGATCTAGATATTGTTACAAATGAATTGTTAAATAGTTTTTTTTGTTTTTGTTATTTCAATATTATATTGAATTTATTTAGCATTTAAATGTAATCTTTTTAAATATCTTGTAACAAGGGATATATGATTTAAGACTCTTTTATAATTATGGACACGAATATGTGGGATAAAAAAATTTAACTAATAATTAAATGATTATATTTTAAATAATGTATGATCAATTTATTGAATTATGTATGAGATTCTTKTTTTTYTTTTTTTTTTTTTTTTTTTTTATAATTGTAAAGCATGTTTTCTTCTTCCGTCGGTTAAATATTACGGACAATGTGTTTAATGTGATGATTCTATAGAATATACAAAACATTTCTAACATTCCTGTTTATTATACATCATGTCCGTTTAACATACAAATTTTAATAAATAAATAATTTTTTAATTATAATATTAATAAATTAAAAAATAATTCGAAGCGATCTAAAGTTAGCAAAAATGAATTATATTTGTCGAATATTTTTGAATAATTCTACTTTGTATGCAAGTCAAAAATTTTGAATAGATTTTTTTAAGAATTTCTCACCTGTGAAAACAAAAAATGAACCTGCACTATCCCTATTTTTTACTATTAGAAAAAGAAACCCTATCCTTATTTTTCCGAATATGAGAAGATTGGAAAAAACAGTTAGCATAGAATAGAATTTACTTATCGTTAGGTAACAAAACTCTTTCAAATTTATTTTTTTCTCTAAAAAATAAACAAAAAAACAACAAATGTCAATCATCCACCATTGTTAATTTTGAATAAAAATCTGAAGAATAATATAACACAATGCACATTCACTTTTATGTTATTTATCTTTCTGTAATATGAAAAAGGTTCTTTTCTATACTTCTTCAGAATATCTTGTTAAAATAACATTGTATCATATAAAAGATAAATTAATTCTTAACCCTTTTCCCTATAGACATGAATTCCCAAAAGGATGTGTACTTTTATCGAACATGCAACCATAAAAT